ACACACACACACACACACACACACACACACACACACACACACACACACAGTCTCAACTCTCCTCCCCCAAAAGAAATTATATTTTGTCCATGTATATTTCTTTTTTTATTTTTAAATTTTTAAACATTTATTACAATTTATTCACTATGTATCCCAGCTGTAGAGCCCTCTCTCATCCCCTCCAACCCTACCATCCCTCCTCCTTCTCCTCCCATGCCCCTTTCCCAGTCTACTGATAGGGGAGGTCCTCCTCTCCTTCCATCTGACCCTAGCCTATCAGGTCTCATCAGGACTGGCTGCACTGTCTTCCTCTGTGGCCTGATAAGGCTTTCCCCCCTACCCTCAGGGGGAGGTGATCAAAGAGCCAGCCACTGAGTTCATGTCAGAGACAGTCTCTGTTCCCATTACTAGGGAACCCACTTGGATACTCTGTGCAGAGGTTCTAGGTTATCTCCATGAATGGTCTTTGGTTGGAGTTACAGTCTCAGAAAAGACCCCTCTGCCCAGATTTTTGGTTCTGTTGCTCTCCTTGGGGAGTTCTTGTCCCCTCCAGGTCTTTCTATCTCCCCCTTTCATAAGATTCCCTGCACTCTGCCCAAAGTTTGGCTATTCAGCATCTGCTTTAATACCCTGCTCGGTAGAGTCTTTCAGAGGCCCTCTGTGGTAGGCTCCTGTCTTGTTCCTTATTTTCACCCTCTTTCAATGTCTATCCTGCTTGCCTTTCTGAAAGAGGATTGAGCATCTTACCCAGGGTCCTCCTTCTTGCTTAGCTTCTTTAGGTGTACAGATTTTAGTAAGATTATCCTATACTATATGTCTGATATCCACTTGTAAGTGAGTATATACCATATTTGTCTTTCTGTTTCTGGGATACCACACTCAGAATGATCTTTTCTAGATCCAGCCATTTGCCTGCAAATTTCATGATTTCCTTGTTTTTAATTGCTGAGTAGCCATGTATATTTTCTTTAGGAAAAGATTATCTTTTTGACAAACAAAAATCACATAATCAATTTATATTTTCCCTAGCATATCAGAGTGTTCGTTCTCTCTCTCCATATACAAATATGTATGTGTGTGTGTGTCCCCACACTGATCCACTCCAGACTACATGGGCTTATCAGGAGTGGTGAGTCTCATGTGCACTGATGAAGACATAAGCTGACAAGTGGCTGGAATCTGGATCTTGAATGCCTCCCCAAAGTCCTGTATGCTAAAGATTTAGTCCCCAGCTCATGTTGATATGGGGAAGAGTGGAATCTTTAGGGCGTACAGCCCACTGGAAGGAAGTAGGGACTGTTGGGAGTTCTGCCCTTGAAGGAGCTACTGGGCCTCTGGACCGCGCTCTCTCTCCTCCTCAGCTTACACCCCAGAGGCCTGAGTATTAGCAGCCTATGCTACCACATGCTCTGGCTATGAGACACTGTGCCACCACAAGCCCTAAGCAAAAGGGCCAAGAAGCTATGGCCTGAAATCTTGGGCACAATAAACCTTTGCCTGTAGTAACTGGATTATCTCAAGTATCTGTCATATAGACAGACAGAAAGCTGACTCACAGCAGAACTCCTGTACAGAAATAAGAGCGGCCCTCACAGGGTATAAGCTTCAAGCTCTACTCTGACAAGGAGGTGGACAAACCAAATGAACAAAAGAAAACCCAGGACCTGCGCATGACAGCAGCAGCCTGAGAAGACACTTACACAGTAACAACGGCATGGTTCAGGGAAAAAGCCTTGTAAATTACGCCTGCCTCCGACTACTCAACTAGGGTTGAGATTTAATAGGCACAGAGAAACATACTGGATTTTTTGGTTTTTTTAGACTAGTATAACTCAGTAGGCATGCTGACATAGGCTATAATCACAGGGCTACTCAGGAGGCCAAGGTAGGAACTTTTAAGTTCAAGCTATACTTGGGCTACAAAGTGAATTCAAAGCCTAGACAATTTAGTGAAGCCTGAAGCCCCATCTCAAAACAGAAAGCAAAACCAACGATGGTATACAGCTCAGCACTAAAATGCTTGCCTTGCATGTCTGAGACCCTGAGTTCAGTCCCTATATAACACACACACACACACACACACACACACACACACACACACACACACA